GTCATAGGGGATCCTGTATTTTTCCCTAAGGTTAACTAGGTGGGTCGGATCTACAAAAGAATGGATTTTGGCTGCCCCCAAGCTATACCAGTGTCCCTCCTACCCTTCCTACGTACAGCAATGCTATACCCCTAGTGAACTGCCCTAACTAGGTCAGTTGTGTGGTGATTTACACCCCTATCTCACCAGCAAGTTCACTCAAATCTACATCCCACCAGCCGAAGCAGTGGATGCCATGGATTACAGTTTTTTAAGTTAAACAGAAATTTAAAAACACTTATGAGATTTGCTAAATGGTGATAATGACGAAACACCAGAAGAATTGCAAGAAAAGTGAGAAGGAAGAAAATGAATGTTGGAACAAAAAGGAAAAACTAAAGGAATATTAAAGAACAAAAGAAAAAATTTGAGAAAATTTGAAAGCTAGGAGAATGATAGTACTGAAATTCGTAAAAATCAAAGTGGATTTTTCCACTAATGTTTGCCTTTTATAGGTATGACCTCTTAATCCCAGCCGTTAGATGTCGATCCGGGTTATCTGACCGTTCATTTGAAGATTAAATTTGAGCCACTTATCACGTATGTCATTTCGTCTTCGGTAGCTTAGATCAAAGCGTCCGTTCCACGTGCCCTCATGCGCCCGAAGTTCACAAAACATATGGAAGGCAGCCATCATTGCACATTAAAAACGGCGACAGTTGTGTGCATAGGAAGTTGAATCGCTTCAGCTGTCTTTTCTTGAAAATGTACCACGACAGCAAATCAACGATTTGAGGCCTCAACTAAAGGGATGATGTCACGTGGTTCTGATCCAACAGATACCACGTCGGCCAAGGTAGTATAAATAGATTTTCTGTGTAACTTAGAAAGGGGTTGGAAAATTGGAGTTAAAAGGATTTATCCTCTAATGTCTTGAACTCAAAAAGATGGAATCAAGGAGAGATATGACCAAATTTTCTTACAATTGATTGTATTTCCATTTTACATTATACACCTAGTAGAAAAATTGTATGAATCAGTAGTCTCATAATTTAGAAGATACTTTTGTTCTTTCTATCCTTCCATATATTCTAGCAAGGTCTTTGGTTGGTAGTTTTATCCTCATTCGGTAATCAATGTTAATGTGATTGCCTTTGTTTTACCTGTTTCTCACCGTGAAGCATTTCTCGCATTCAAGTCTGCCTCATTTCTCACCGTTTCTCCTATAGAAACGTGCCGGAATTGATTCGACGTGGCAAGAGTGAGTCCGGCATATGTTGACTCATTTTTTGGGGTCAACAAGGTGTTTAATTATTTTAAACAAAATTTATTTTTCTTTTTGAATAGTGATGAAACTCCATTCCATTTGCAATTTAATCTTATTTTTCTTCTATTTTTGCTTATTTAAAATGAGAATTTCATCATTTAATAATCAAAATGTAAGGAATAACAAGCTTTGCTACAAAACTGAAATGTCTGGTAGATTATGTTAAAAATAGGTTGAAGATACATTTGTCACATTTTAGGAAGATTGGAAATGGATAAACCTTTTTCTTTCCCACCTAGAAAGTAAGGTCAGCCAACCAAAAAAATAATATAAAATAAAATAAGTCTCATATATTGTTGAAAAACAAAATTACATATATTTTGTGTTCATCAATCATCGTTGATGCCAAACAATCATGGGCGGACCTATGAAGGGTCCAGTGGGTGCAATTATCCCCATTGAAGTTTCAAATGAATGGGCTTTTTCAAATATAAATTTTCAAAATTTTTTGGATTTTTTCGTAGTTTATTTTAGCCTATAGTTTTCCGTCCAAATCCAAAGAGGTTACAAGTATTTGACATCAATTTTTTTTCAAGACTCAACCCACATAATTCCCACTTAATAGTCCAACTTCCCTTCCCACTGTTGATCCTAAACTCAATTCTCAAACCCTTGCGATTCCAATCACAATATTTTGAAAGAAGAACACACTGAAGCAGCAAAATTTGGTAATCCCTCTCTCTTTCTTAATCTTATTATTTATGTTTTGATAGTTATTTTTGTTCTTGGATAAGTCATAAGTATTAAGTGAATTTTGCACTTTTTCTTATTTTGATTTTGAGTAAATGCTTTAATTCTGAGAAGCTATAAGGAAGAATTGTTAAAAAAAAAAAGGTATAAATTTTGAATCGTTGTTGTCTAATTTGAAATAATTTTTTTGCGAAATTTTGCATCACTCCCGTTGAACCATAATCCTAGGTCTGTCCTTGCACACAACAGAAGGCTTAGTCTCGACACCAAAAATAGAAAAGAACCCTATCTCTATAATTTAAATAAAATTTCTTAGAATCATGTCTTAATAACCTTCTCCTTTTAACATACTTAAAATCTCAAAATTTAATCTTAATGTTGGAATGTGATGCCATTTATGTCATTAGCTTTCTAACTATTTTGGGCAATGATGAAATGGGCTAAGCCCAAGCTGTTGGAAATGTTTTTTTAAAGAAAAATCATTGCCCGATAACACATAAGGACTGACCCAAATACTCGGCCCAAATTCACTACCACTTGGAGCTGCTCTGATCGTTGGATGGGAATTAAATCAATGGTGATGGCTTGGGCTATTTATACCAGCTGAACCGTCCCTAGAAAGATGAATTCCTCATTTTGTGTTCTCTCGTTTTCTCTGTGATAAGTCTAGGTGTTTTTTGTGCCTTCTATTTTCTTCATGATTATCTCTTCTTCTCTACGTAATACTTAATGTATGATTAAAACTTTTGGTTTTAATCTTCAGTCTTGGTGATTGTGTGCCTTCGTGGTCGGTAGAGAGGGATTTCTATTGTTGGCAGTGTGGTTTCTTCCTTTGTGTCATTGAGTAGCCGTGTGGTAGTTTGATTAGGATTCTTGGTGTGGTTTGAGGCCGTTCTTGTGTACAGGATACAATGAATTTGTTTTTGAGCCCTCATTGAATTTGATTCTACTTGGAGTAAATCTGTTTTTGACATTCTTGGTGAATATATATTACTGCTTCCGTTGGTTTTAACTTTACACTTAATTATGGTTCGAGCTCCATAAGACCAATAATAGCAAATAAAGCAAAAATTTCCTCCCTACTTTTTTTTTCCAATGGGCAAGTTTAATGGTAAAATTTTGAGGAAATTAGGTCCAGACCTGTTTTTAAAGATGACAATTCANAGGTAATAATTTAATTGTTAAATATTAATAATGATATTATAAAATTAAATTAATATATACACCCACCCACTCCACCCATCTATCCCAACCCAATTTCACTCACAAACCTAATTCATTTCCCAACCTATTCCCTCTCTACCACAAACTTCGACACCACTGCTGCTGCAAGAGGATCGACGCTGCTCTCTTGCAACGGCGTTGACTGTGTGGACCTCTGCCAATAGGTGCCTCTGCTCGGGAACGCCACAGCCGTGAGGACTTCTAACCCCAAGTGCGTCCGCAACCTCTGCCTAGTCCATTGGATCTCATTTTGGATTGGATCATGTGTGCAGTCGATTGGATCTCGTTTTGGATTTATGCGATGATGTCGATGTCGCTGCTACTATAGTTGATGCAATCTGATTTTGGATTAGGTTGTGCAATGATTTTGTTGACGGTGTTTGTAGTTGGTGGTGGTGATGGGTGATGTAGGCGGTGATGTAGATGTGGTGGTGATGTTGGCTGCGTTTTAGATCTGGATCTAAGTTTGGGCTATGGTTCGGGATATAGGTGAGGAAATGGATGAGGCAGATGTGGTGTGATGTTGGTGGTGGTGTGGCGGTAATTAATAAATTTGGATCTGATTTTTTGGTTGTGTTTGTGTGGCTAATAGTGGTAGGTTGTTAGGGCTATGTTTGTATCTATGTTGCTGGGTCGTGGCGGTGGTGCGGTAATTGGTGGTTGGGTATGGTGCTGCAGTGGTGGTGTTGCAAAAATGGTGGTGGCGGCGGTGGTGGCTTGTGATGATTTTTGGTGGGAGCGTATTGGATCTAGTGGTGGTGGTGTTGTGGTAGTGGCTGCGGTGTGATAATGTCTGTGACCAATTATTTGGTTGATTTGTGACCAAGTATTGGTGGTGACATTGGTGCTGGGAGGTTGTGGTGTTGGTTTGTTTAAAATGGTGATGTTGCTATTGGGCGGCGACGGTTGTGGTGGTGGTGGTGTTGCTGCTACTAGAGATAGTGGCGATGTGATTGTTGTAAGCGTTGGTGGTGATCACAAATTATTTGGTTGATTGTGACCAATTATTTGAGATTGTGACCAATAAATTGTATATTTTGTGACTAATAAATAATATGTGACCTAAAAATTTGAATTGTGACTTTAACGTGATTTGTGACCGATAAATTGATATTGTGACCAATAAATTCGATATTTTGTGATCAATAAATAATATGTGACCTAAAAAATAATATGTAACTTATTAATTTGATAGATTTGTGATCGATAAATAAATTGTGACTGTTAAATTTTTAATTGGTAACCGATGAACAAACTGCGACCTATAAATTTTTTGAAGTATGATCGTAAAATAATTTGTGACATAAAAATTCTGATTTGTGACCGAAAAATAATATGTAACTAATTAGATGGTTAATTTGTGACTAAATTGTATAGATCTGTAACATTAACATATTCGCCGGAATCGGATCAGTCGTCGGAAAGGTCGCCGGAATATCCCCGGCATTA